CCCCACCTCCAAAGCCCCCGCACCGTCAGCAGCCACTGGCGCCGCTGGCGACGACGAAGACGCCACCGACGCCCTCCTGCAGGACTTCAAGGCGGAGCCATCCGACCCCGACATCACTGCCGCCGACCAGGTGACCTTTGAACCCGACACGGAGCAGACCATCAACTCGGAAACCCTGCACGCTCTGGTGGAGCAGCTGCGGCCCCAGCCCTCCCCCCCCGCCCAGAGCCTGGAGCAGATAGTCATCATCAGGACGGTGGACAATGCCGAGCACAACCCCCCGCAGCAGTGAGCCCCTCCCCCCGAAAGAACGTTTGTACTTTTTAACAATAAAGCCGCTGATAGGATTAAAGTCAGCTCTCATATATATCCCCATATAATGGAGTTTGATGGACATTGAGTGATTTACAAGGGAAAGAAAATGTGGGTCTTAATTTCATAGTTATTATTTGCATAAGTAATAATACTGTACGTACCATCTTAATAGCAGAGATCAAGATATCCAGTAAGACATGTTAGACATATTGTGTAAATGTGCAGACAGTTTTCCTGTACTTTTAAGCTAGTATAATGCTAATATTATTTGTAGAAATGATGGTGAGAAACTACAAAAACGAGACCCAAGTTGTAAAAGAAATATATAATAATCCGTTAACTAATTTCCTGTCTCTATTACTCATCGGTGCCATTTTTTTACATTCTAAACGAAAACAATCAGAATTTCAAAAAAGAGAAAAACTTTTCATTTACTTCCTCTGCAATCGTTTCTGGATGAAAGACTCAAGGAGACTTTTTTGTGATAAAAAGTATTTTATTTGCCTACACTAAAAGATTCAAGGATGTTACATAATGCAGAAAAAAGTCCTTGAGTTTAAGTATCAGAAAACGAATTAGGTGACAAAAAGTCTCATGGGTGCATCCCTAAAATTCACAAAGAGCAGAAGTTGTTAAAGTTCCCGATTTCAGTTTCATAAGGAGGTTTAAAGCAATCTGATAAAATTATGACCTTTTTTACAAAGTATAAATATCACTACTAAGCCAATTAACGTTTCATTTGAATACCAGCCTAAGGTAAACTCAATTTATTCCAGTGTTACTGATTAGTTTCCAACTTTAGCAGCCCATTCCACTACTTTATCGAAGAAATTGAGACTAGCATCATGTTCTCGGACATCGACGTGTGGCTGGATTTGCTTTCTTACTATCCGAATGAAGAAACAAATGTAAAGAAACGTTGGTTAGATAAATATGTCCGCCAGTATAACTTGCATTGTTTGAATAGATAATGTAGTTAATAGGTGCCCTGGTATCACCATGAGATAGGAGTTTTTGTATTAATCATAAATGTTTCCACCTTAAGTGTTAGACATGTGGTGAAATATAGTTTTGTTTTTTTAAAGCAGCTGTTTTAGGTCTTAGCATAACAGTTTGTGCATCAAGTTCTCATGAAAATTGCATTATATTTCCATGAACGTTTTTGTTTTATGCTTTCCTTTTTTTTTTTTGGATAAAACATCTGCATTACTTGTACAGAAATGTGAATTACATATACAAGTTCATTACTGTATTAAAAACTGAGCAAGAAAAATAAAATCAAAACAAAAAGGGACAATCAAAGTGTGTGTCTTTGTGACTATTGCAGGGGAAATGTTGAGGAATAAGAGAGTTTTTGCGTTTGAATGGTTTTTTATACATGTCTTGTATTAACTTTATGGCAAGCTGTATTCTGATGACATCATCCGTTCAGATATAATATGGCGCATTCATAGAGTGAAATAAAGAGGTATAAATTAAGAATGGTTAACTTGAACCAGCAGATGTAAAAAAGATGTTCAAAAGAAACTGATGATTAAAGAATAAATTATGATAAAAAAATAATGTACTGTATATACAAAACTAGATATATCTTAAATATATAAATAAACACTAAGAAAAATATATGAACTATATTAAAAGTTAACATGAGTAAAATAAATGTTTGAGATTAAAATATTTAGTGTTTTTTGTTGCAAAAGAAACAACATTGCCATTCAAATAGAAAAAAAGAATATTGTTAATATATTCAAAAACTATTAATTATGACAAATTCTAATAATCTCCTTAAACGTGAATCACAATTTGTTTTTTTAAGATTGTCTTTTGTCCTTCGAAAGACGCCATCCTCCCTTGTTGCCATGACAACTCAAATTTAAGCTTCGGGCGCAACGATGGTTAGCGAAAATATTTCAGAGTTTTACTGCGCTGTCTGCTCAGAAAATGAGATACAAATAAATCCACACGTTTTACAAGTTCTACAGGAAACGACGGAAACAGAGTGAGTGACTAAATGTTGCTGAATTTACGAACAAATTACATTTTTGCGTCAATAAAGCGTATTGTTAGGATTAGCTTCCGTAGCTAACGTAAGGTTGCCTTCAGGTGCTGCTAGGGGATATTGAGATTATCGTTGGAAACAAAAAATACCTACAAATTCTACCTTATTAAAGTTCTTAAGCAAATGTACTTTAATTTTCACCATGCTTTACTTAAGTAGCATAATACTTTACTGTACTAAGCTAGAATTGGAAGTTTTTGCTTTGCTGAAGTATTTTCCTTTTACACTTATATTCTACTACAGTTCACTGGAAACACACTTTATACTTTGTAGTTACTTGCCGAATACAATAAGCTCCACATACTACTGCTCCTACTTATACCACCACTATTATACTACTGTTAAAATTATGAAATCTTAGCAATCCATTTGTGTTAATTCCATCCAAAAGCATGTCAATGGACCTTATGCTGTGCACTTGAAGGCAGCATGGGTGTCTGATCCTGTATTCAATACAAGTTTTGTTGTTGTATGTTTGCAAGAAATGTCACCTTAAAACTGTCAGGAAGCCACCATCTGAGAAATGTTCAGCGACTTGATGACCAAGACATCCTCGCTCTCTCCAAATGTTTGAAAAACAACAAGCGTGTGACAGGTGAGCTGTCAGATTTAGGTGAACAACTTCTCTAACATCTTTACATTTTAAACTTGTATTATTTGTATCATCAGGTCTTGATCTCAGGTACAACAACATAACAGATGAAGGAGTTGGACACCTTGCTGAGCTCTTACAGGTAAAGATGCCAGGTTTCAGTTGAATGGTTAGTTTTGCCTGAAACTGTTATATCTCCAACAGCTGCTTCTTATGTTGTCATATTTCCTATCAATTATTTGCCTGTTGTATTTTATGTTTCTTTTTCACTGAGCAGGAGGAAAGTTTAGGTCTCCGATCTCTGGACTTGACGTTAAACGACTTCCAGAGAAATGGAGCTGAAGTTCTTGCCAAGAGCCTGGAGGTTTATATTAATTTCTTACACACACACACAAAAAACTATTCATAGGCATCCTTTCTGCTTACTTTCACTTTTGGTTTTTGTCAACAAATCCCTAGAAAATACCAATATCAACAATGTATTATTCAGTCTCTCAACACTTGTTTATTACCATTCTGATTAAGTGGTTACTACAGACATTTTGAGCAACAATGGCACAAGCGAAAAAGATACACCAGGCGTTAAAAATCACACTCATTCTTGTTAGGATATACATTTACTGTTAGCTTGAGTTTGACACATCTGGCTCAAGACTTGAAATGTCAAACATAAAGTATCTTTCTCTTTCTTTGTCTCTGCAGTGTAACAGCACTTTGCTCTCACTCAGACTGTCGGGTAATAAAATGGAGAGCAGAGGAGCCATGCAGCTGGCGAGCAGTCTCCAGGTGAACAACACCCTGCAGGAGCTGCAGCTGGCTAACTGCGACCTAGTAAGCACACACAAATTAAATTATGTTTATATAAACATTTTTTACATTTGTATTTCACTCTAAAATTGAGTAACTGTCATAATACCCAATATTCCCTGAGATGAATAAAGTATTCTGATTCTGAAAAGGATTATATAGAGAATAAATAAAAATGACATCTATTCTATTTACTGTTGTGTGATTTCCCTGCAGGACACTCAGAGTGTGATAGCGTTTTCCATTGTGTTGAAAAGCAACAGGACTCTTCTCTCTGTGGATATCAGCAGACCACTGCTCTTCAGCCTCCAGGTAAAACACAAAGCATTATATAGAATACATCACTCGATATAATAAATACATCTCTCTGTGTGTCTGTCAGGAGGAGTGGGCGGTGCACTTCTCTGACATGCTGGCTCTGAACAGCAGCCTGGTGGAGCTCCACCTGGGGAAGATGGGGCTGAGCGACACCGGGATGGAGAGGCTGACTGAAGGCCTGCGACAAAACCACGGCCTGCGCTACCTGGACCTGCGCTGGTACGAACTGACACATCCTCCACATCACATCTTTTATGTCTTACAACAGTAGAGGTTTAATATAAAGGACTCTTGTGGTGTTTCACAATCTTGCCATGCGTTATCAATTATTTAGATTCTTTCAAATGTGTCAAGGCTGGGTTAAGTTTGGGCATCATTAAACAGTTGGGTCTGATTTAAAAGCCAAATGAAGGTGTCAATCAAATCTAGACTTTTCATTAATATGTTGTGATGTAAATGTTGTGGAGTAAAACAGAAATCCAGAAACTGCTTCTGATTCTGCACATCTTCTCGGTCTTGTGTTTCATTGTCTGCAGTAACCGTGTGACTCGTGACGGCGCGCGTTTCCTCGCCGGGCTTCTGAAGCAGAACCCGAGCCTAGAGGTCATAGACCTGTCCTTCAATCGGATTGAAGATGTAGGAGCGATGTACCTGAGCGAGGCCGTTGCCCTGCCAGGCTGCAGCCTCAGAGAGTGAGTCCAACAAGGCTTTGGTATCCATCATGCTGTCCAGCCAGACTCTCCACCCTCTGGATAAGAGACACATTATCTCAATCTGTTTAACAGCTGTACTGTACTGTGGTTCTTATCCACCTAAAACATCATGGAGCTAATCACCTAAGTTTGGGTTTTGAGCATTTTCCCGGAAAATTGTCTAATTTTAAATAATTAAAAGGTATGAAGAGGTAAAAGTAACCAGCAAGGAGTTTTGTGGCTATGAAGAGGACTAAATATCGAGACTTTTCTAAACTTATTGTTAGGATTTTCAGATGTCGGAATATGAAAAAGAATCCAGTGTGTTTAACTTGAAGGACTTTTAAGGTAATAAGTCATTTGTAGATTTTCAATATTTTCTATCAAGAGCAGAAATATTACATTTTTTACATGATTTGAGGAATTTTTTTACTTATTTTAAGCAGACTGAATTTATATTTCTGACCACATTTCACTGGAGCATCTCAAAGTATTTTGTTGTTCTTTTA